ATTTCCTTCACTGCCTATGCTTAGTTGTTTTGGAACTTGCTGTGTAGACTAAGTTGGCCTCAAACTCAGATCCATCAGCCGATGCCTTCTGGGATTAAAGGTGTGTACCACTACACCCAACTCTAAGCTTTTCTTTAACTCCATTTCACAACTTGGATCAACTGAGTGGGATCTTGCCCTGAGGTCACTATTCCCTTTATCTCATTCTTAATCTATTTATCTCCTTGAATATAGGATTTAGCTTCATTACACTTCCTGGTACTCCCCTTTTTCCTCAAATTTTATATTTTCATATTCATTTTCCATTATAAATCTGTATAAGTGTCAAGTAATACCTATAGAGCAGAGTTAATACTAGGCTGTTTTGAGATTTCCTTTGCCAATGGAATTAATCCAAGTCTCTTTACTTTAGCCTCAGGTAGACTCATTTGATAGGGGCAAAAGGCAGCCACTTTCTTCACCAAAATATCACAAGGAAGAACCTTAGGCAACCTACTAAAATTCTTCTCCTCTGAATCATCTTGATTCTGGACCCTGACAGTTCAAGATGTTCTTAGCATCATTGTCTTCCATGTGCCTACTGATATGACCCATTAAATAGCACTTAAAGAACTCTACTGTTTTCCTAACCAAAATTCCAAGGTCCAAATTCCTCTAAATAAAAGTAGGTAGAACTTTCATGGCAATACCTCAGTTCCTTGTACCAACTTCTGTCTTAATTCAGGTTTCTATTGTCATGAGAAGACACCATAACCATTGCAGTTCTTATGTAGGAAAACAGTTAATTGGGTTGCCATGGCAGGGAGGATGATAGCTAGGAGTATGGTTTCATGGAGGCAGAGATGGTGCTGGAGAATTCTGCATCTTGATGTAAGGCAGAAGGAAGTGAACTGTCTCAGTGGGTGTGGCTTGAGCATATATGAAACCTGGAAGGTCACCTCTACATTAACACACTTCCTGTAACAAGGCCACAGCTACTCCCAAAAGGCCATACTTTCCAACATTGCCACTCCCTTGGGAGCAATTTTCTTTCAATGTTGTTAGGCATTGTACTTCTGTATATATGTTTCTCTTATTGGTTCATGAATAAAACACTGATTGGCTGATTGGCCAGGCAGGAAGTATAGGCAGTGCTAGGAGATGAGAATTCTGGGAAATGCAGGTAGACAGAGTCGCCATGTAGGCTGCCAAAGGAGTAACAGTTCTAGGCCATTCTCTAGTCAGATAAGACCATGTGAAAATACTTAGATCAATAGAAATTGGTTAATAAATCAGATAGAGCTAGCCAATAAGAATCCCTGGTCATTGACCAATAGTTTCATAATTAATATAAAATCTGTGTGTTTACTTGGATCTGAAGGATGGTGGGATCATCAGGGACAAAGAACCTCTTGTTGCACAATATACCACAATGTTTATGGATATTTTAAAGTTTTCACATTTGGTTTCCATATAAATATGTGCGCTATATGGTCCTGTGCTACTCCAATGCTAAATGTTTGGTTTGTTACTGAATAAAATCATCCTACACGTTAGAGGGAATTTTGGTCTCTACAGTATTGGTTTTTCAAGTTTACATTAATTCTTGTGTAGTTCTGTAATGTCACTCAATAAAATTATGCAAATTTTGTAACAGTTTGTGATGTATTAGTAGAAATATGACAGTATTTTTAATGATACTCAAAATGATTTCATTGACTTATTATGGATATGTTAAATTCCAATTGATTTTTATGCATTCCATCTCATAACATTGTCAGATATTTTGGCAAATCAAATATTTTAGCTGAAAACTCATATATTTTCTTTGACTCTAATTTGTCACACTATTAGATCTCATAAAGTTCTTCTATACCCTGTTATACTGCTGTCATTGCTCATTAGATGTCATTCAATACAACTTTTCTGGTCTCAGAGGGAACACTTTAAATTATTACGGTGTTTTTGGTACTGCTCTAGAGATATTTTAATTTTTAATTTCTTCCCTATCTTCACACAGTTTTATGACTAATTTCAGATTGTAACAAATGTTTTGCCTATATAATTATTGTGTCCTTATGATATTTCCCCATTTATATATTATTATTATTATTATTATTTTTGAGATAGGGTTTCTCTGTATAGCCCTGGCTGTTCTGCAACTCATTCTAAAGACAATGCTGGCTCAAACTTAAAGAGATCTGCCTGTCTCTGCCTCAGGAGTAAAAACCTGTGCCATCACTCCCTTATAATATTAATCTGAAAATACAAAACGGATAGGCCATTGTTAAAATGCATTTATTCTTTCTGGTATACATCTAATATAGTCATTGAATATTATCCTTTTTAAATTTTATATCTACAGATTTGAAAACTTCCTAAAATATATGTTTTGTTCCTTTGCTCATAGGTGACATATAGTTGTAACTTAACACTGACTTGTTTTCCCCCCCTTGGGATATTTTTGTCACGTGGTCATACAGGTTTAACTACGGAAAGGTTTTATACGTTGTAATGCTTTCCAATTTCCATGACTCTAGGTTAAATGAACGAATTAATGTCCAAAGAATTTATATTTTAAAAGTGTATTAAGTCCCTAGTGCTTAGCTAGCTTTGGGGAACCTCTTCTCATGCTGGATTACCTCACTGGCCTTAATACTCGAGGAGGAGCCAGGTCTTACTCAACTTGATGTGGCATGCTTTGTTGAAGCCCATGGGTAGCCTGCCTCTTTCTGAATGGAGACTGAGGAAATGGGGATAGAGTAGATGGGAGGTGGAGGAAGGGAATTGGAGGAGAGAAAGGAAGGGAAACTGTGGTCAGTATATAAAATAAATGAAAAAAAATTAAAAAGTATATGGCAGAAAAGAAGGAAATCATATGTAGTTGATAACTCAGTCTCTGCTTTGCTGCCTGCCAATCACAGTTTAAAGTTAGTGTGTGTGTCAGAACAAGAAACATGTAATCACTCCTAAGAACAGAATTTTGTAACATTTTTCTGAGTTTTCTGTGTCATTCATGGTTTGTGATATGATGTATTTGTAAGAAAAGTAGCGATTCACAGTTACAAAGACCAAAACTCCCACTACCTACGTGCCTTAGAAAAACATAATATCAGGTTGCATTGAATAATATACCTAATTTGCTTTAAATTGGGTATGTATTCTTGGTTTTTATGCCAATACCTGGTTTTCATCTCCAGGGAGTCTCTGTTCCTGAGATGATGTTATAAGGCTCTTTAATACCGAAAACTGTCATCTATCCACCAAAGAATCCTTCACAAACATTAAAGAAACTGAGAGATTGTTAGGGTATTGTTGCAAACTTTTATGTTTTCTGATATTGAATTTTAGGAATACATTATTATTAAGTTCTTATGCAGAGAGAAGTGTGCCACAGCATATAGGTAAATACAAAGTAGATAAGAAACATACTGAAATTAAAGTAAGTTTTTAAAAGGGAAACTCCATATTTTGCATGCTTCTTTGTATTTTATGAACAGTAGTTAAAGAAAAATTCTCACTATGATACATTGTAAAATTCATTATAATTGAAACTCTGTCAAAATGACTATAATTGCCATAGGAAAATGTTAGGTTAAAATGGTAATAAATATGTCATATGACTCTCTCTTTACTGGTATTAAAATATTTCACACTAATCTCACTCTTTATGAAATGTCCATCACAGGTATTCTACAGATTTCATAGTTTCAGGCATTATATTTAAGTCTCAATGGATTTGGGCTGACTTTGTAAGTTGTGAATGCAGAGGTTAAGTTTGGCTTTCATGCACATGCAAGTCTAGTTTTGTCACACTGAACTGATCTAAGTGAGAGGTCAAATGTGCTTGAAGTCTCAGAATTGGAGCGTCCAGAAGATGGGAGCAGCAGGTCTGGATGCTGGACATGAACTTTCAGGGTTTTGGTTGTCATCTTTCTGGGAGGAAATATTGTTAATGTATGGATTTTTTTCTTTCTATATCCTCACTGTACTTTAAGAGAGGGAATATATGCCTCATGGCATTGTGTGTAAGCTTGTACTTTAATTTTGTAGAGTATTAAATTTTGTAGGTATTGTCTTGAGTAGAGAATTTATACATTAAAATATGTAGAAACTTTAAGATATGGGAATTTTTGCTTTAAGAGATGGCCATCAAATGATGGGGCTAGGACCACAGTGTTAGAGTTTGAATGTGAAATGTAGTCCCTGCTCCCCAGGTTCATGTATTTGAATACTTGGTCTCAAACATGGATTTATTTTAGGAGATTACAGAATCTTTAAAAGATGAGGGCTATTGTTTTTTTCCCCTGCTGAGTAGTACATCATTATGTAAATTTACCACAATTTCTCTATCCACTCTTCAGTTGAGGTGCATCTAGGTTGCTTCCAGGATCTGGCTATTACAAATACTGCTGCTATGACCATAGTGAAACAGATGTCTTTGTTGTATGAATGTGTATCTTTTGGGTACATGCCTAAGACTGGAATTGCTGGGTCTTATGGTAGGCTGATTCCCATTTTCCCGAGGAATCTCCATACTGATTTCCAAAGTGGCTGTACAAGTTGGCACTCCCACCACCAGCAATGAAAGACTGTTCCCCTTTCTCCACATCCTTTCCAACATAAAATGTCATTGATGTTTTTGATTTTAGCCATTCTGAAAGTAGTGAGATAATATCTCAGAGTTGTTTTGATTTGCATTTCCCTAATGACTAAGAATGTTGAACACTTTCTTAAGTGTCTCTCAGCCATTTTAGACTCCTCTATTAAGAACTCTCTATTTAGTTCTGTACCCTACCTTTTAATTTGATTCTTTGGTGTTTTGGAGAGCAGCTTCTTGAGTTCTTCGCAAATTTTGAAGATCAGCCTTCTGTGAGATGTGGAGTTAGTGAATATCTTTTCCCACTCTGTGAGCTACCTTTTTTGTCTTGTTAACTATGTCTTTTGCCTTACAGAAGATTCTCAGTTTCAGGAGGTCCCATTTATTAAGTGTCAATGTCAGCATCTGTGCTACTGGTGTTATGTTCAGGAAGAAACCATCCTGAGTGATATAACCCAGTCACAAAAAGAAGAACATGGTATGTACTCACTCATATATGGATTTTAGACATAGATCAGGGGAGTGCCAGCCTACAATCCCACTGCCAAACCTTCATCCAGTGACTGATGGAAGCAGAGGCAGATACCCACAGATAAATGCTGAACTGAACTCATGGAACCCTCTGACAGAGAGGGAGGAGTGATGAACAAAGGGTCAAGAATGGGCTGGTGAAACCCACAGAAATAGCTGACACGAACAAGGGGGAGCTCTTGAACACCAGACTGATGGCTCAGGATCCAGACCCCCTGGATGTGGGTGTCAGTGAGGAGGCCTAGGAAATCTATGGGGCCTTGTGTAATAGATCAGTATTTACCATAATATATGAATGAACTTTTGGAGCCCATTATACATGGAGGGATGTTCTCTCAGTCTGGACACATGGGGGAGGGCCTAGACCCTGCCCTGGGTGAAATGACAGATTCTGCTGATCCACCATGGAGGACCTCATGGGGAATGTTGAGGGGGTTGGGTGGGGGGCTGGAGGGCTGGTAGAAGGCATGTGAGGAGGGGAGGGAGAGTGAGCTGGGATTGACATTGAAGCAAACTTGTTTCTAATTTATATTTTAAAATTATATTAAAAAACAAAGGTGAGGACTAACTGGACAACAAGTACCTCTGACATGTGGGATTTTGGATTAGTCTTTCCTACCTACCATCACATCTTTCCTTCTTGGTCAATATGGATGTAAACACACAGCCTCATGCTCTTTTTGCCACTGTCAAGAACTGCTCCACTGCCATGCCTTCCCATCTGTGATGTACTCACTAAATCTTTCTTCCTTTAGTAGCTTCTTAGAAGGAATTTGGTTACATCCATGAGAAAATGAACCAATCCCTGAATATAATCAAAATTGTCAGCATTTAATAGTATCTGCAAATTTGGTGATACTCATAGAAACATTTTCAGTTGATTGAATATTTATATGAATAATACAATGGTATCAAATATGTCAACATACTTTGTCTTTAATATTGGATTTCCTCAAATCTGTTTTTAAATTTTAATTTAAATAAATAACAATCTTATTTTACATACCAATCCCAGTTCCCTCTCCTTCCCATCCTCCCATGCCCACCACTAACTCTCCATCCCATACCCCATTTACTCCCCAGGGAAGGTAAGGTCTCCCATGAGGGGTCATCAAAGTCTGACTCATCATTTGGGGCAGAACCTAAGCCCTTCCCTGTGTATCTAGGCTGAGAGTGTAACCTTCCATAGGGAATGGGCTCCCAAGCACATTCTTGTACTAGGAGTAAATACTGGTTCCACTACTAGAGCCCTCATAGATTGCCCAGGCCTCCCAACTGACACCCATGTTCAGGAACCCTGGTTCAGTCCTATGCTGGTTCCTCAGCTGTCAGATTGGGGTCTGTGAACTTCTACTTGCTCAGGTTAGCTGTTTCTGTGGGTTTCCCCAGTCTGGTCTTGACCCATTTGCTACTCACTCATCCCTCTCTACAACTGGATTCTAGGAGTTTGGCTCAGTGCTTGCATGTGAATCTCTGCTTCTGTTTCTATCAGCTACTGGATGAAGGCTCTATGATGGCATTTAAGGTTGTCATTAATCTTATTATAGGAGACAGGCATTTAAGCTAGCCTATCCACTTTTGCTTAGATACCTAGTTGGGGTCATCCTTATGGATCCCTAGACATTTCTCTGGTGCCAGATTTCTCTTTTAAACCAATAATGGCTCCCCCTATTAAGGTATCTCTTTTCCTGCTCTCCTTCTCTATTTGTCCCCCAATCCGATCTTCTTGATCCCTCATGTTCTTCTCCCCCCATAGAGCAAAGGATACCCAGTCTACAATCCACAACCCCAGAGAATTTGAGAAACAGGAGGACCCTCGGAGTGACATATATGGTCCCCTGGAGAAGGGGAAAGGGACAAGATCTCCTGAGCAAATTGGGAAGGCGGGGTGAGGATGGAGGTGGGAGAAAGGGGAGGGGATTTCCTCAAATCTTTGAGACTAAGTTAATTATGTTATTTTATTTATTTACTTATTATTTTTTCTTATCTTAATTTGACTTGAAAAATATACATTTTTAGACACTAAATACTAAACAAAATTCAAATAAAACACTTTGATAAATTGGTAAATCTGCTAGCCACTTTATTTCTTCATTGTTTTTGAAAGAGAAAATGACTTATGCCATTTTAACTCCAATTTATTTTATGTTTATGCTTATCTAATTTAATTTTTACTTATTGTGAAAACATCTCTAGGATTGATTGCCCTCTAGCTCAATATGCAACTAGGCATGCCTTTGAACTGGTCCTACTATATCTATCTTCTAAGTCTCAGGTATGGTACTTGTAACCAAACTGAGGGATTCACAAATTGTTGGGAGCCTAGTCTCAGATAAGCATATGACAACTTGTCCAACAGGTTTCCATGGGGCATAACACCTGATAAAATGGACTCTCACTTCACAAGAACCAGTAGTCCATGTCTCTGTCATTACATTGATGATTCTTTGAGCAGTTTTTAGTTTTATTTTGTCAGTCATACATGCAATAGGTATAACCTTACCTGGAAATTCTGTTCCTTTTCAAATATTTTCTCCTAAGATTCAACAGGAGCTAATGTTTCTCAAATCTCTTATCTGGAATTACTAACTACAACTTTTAATCCTAGGAGTTTTTCTGACTCAATAGTCAGGTACATATGAGAAAACAACATTTGGAACACTAACCATGTCTCACAGTTCTGGAAAGGAGCGTAAGGCATGCATACACAGAATAGGGGAAAAGCCTCAGGAATATACATAGTACCAACTGTTGAGAGTAAGTTTCATGGAAACTAAGGATACAGGGTCAATGATAGAATCTAGTATATTCTGGTGGGAATAATGCAAACTATGGGATGGATAGATCCATCTTTACCATATGTAGGAACTCATATTGGTGGGAAAGAATGATATAATGAGATGGGAAAAGTGTGCTTTGTCAAAATATGCCTTTTACGGAGAGATTAAAACATGGGGCCCTCTTGTAGAAAAGGCAACTGTATAAAATATGTCTTGGAGGTATGCAATAATTATCTGGGTTTGCATATTATTGTCCTTAAACCACTGCACTCATGTCTATTACATTTTAGTTTAGTAACTACAAGTAGCTGTCAGCTGATATAAGTACTGCAAGAGCAGAATGTATCTGGCTTGATATTTAGTTAAACCTGGAAAAATACTGAACTCTGTGTCTAGAATAAGGGGGTAAGAAGGTATATTGGGAAAGCATAAAGGGGAACAGTGGGAACTTTCATAATGATCACTATGTATTCCTTAAATTGTGGTGCATTTCTTAATGTCAAAACTAGAAGCCATTTATAACGCTATTCATACAATCCTTGTAAGAAAAAACTGCTTAAGTATAAATACGGGCTGGAGAGATGGCTCAGCCATTACAGACTAGGCTCATAACCAAAAATATAAGTATAAATAAAGATAACCTGAGTTACTAGGGGCCACGTGAAAGGAATTCACTTGGTGGTTAGAAGTTTTCTTTGCACCGACACCCCTTTTCCACCTCAGGACCTGGAACTGATCCTGGCAATAAATACTAGTCAAGCATGCTACCAGCTAAACCTATTTCAACTTGGTATAAAGCAATTCTTAAGTGTCATGAATTATGATTAGTAACAGTATTGATTGCCCATGACTGTGCTGCTTCATAGTACTTATTTAAAGATTACAAAACATGGAGTCTGTATATTTCCACCTTATTAGATGCTAGTATGAGTTCACACCCTCTAGTTCTTAATCTACTTCACATTATTAACTCTTATTGAGAATGTTCTTGAAGATGTGTCTGTTTATTGTCCTTTGCAGCTTTTACAGAATCCAACAAAATATAAATCAAAACAAATAACTTCAACATATTTTTATTGAAAGTCATATGACCAAGTTTACAATTGAAAAGTAAGGCAATTTGCTCTTTTCCATTTTTGTCAATGTCTTAATAGTTTACTCAAAGGAAGAGGGATTTACATATCTACTTAAGTATTCAGGCTGGTGTGATGTTATGTCTAATGTAGCTTTGAATTTTATTACATTCTTGTGATAGAAAGCTAAAGAAAGGCAAACAAGCCTCTGCTATTAAGAAAAAGAAAAACAACCACACTTTAAGCTTATAAATTTTCTAAAGGACATTTGAAATCCTCAGAAATATTTTGACAATACTTTTGAGACCAGGGCAGTTGGACGTCACTGACCTTATCCTTCAGTGCATTGGTGTTTACATCTCAGCTCTGCATTTCCTAAACCAGTTGCTTGTGAATGTTTTTTACATATCTGTGCTACACTGATGAATTGCTGATAAAACCAAGGCCAAATAATTATACTAGTGTTACCTCCAGCTTTGCAACTGCTCCTCCTGCTGTCATATTTGCTTTCATTTATCTTTAGACATCAACTGAAATGGCACCTCTGTGACACCTGAGTCACTCACTCATTTTCCTTTTGATGTACTTCACACATCATTTTGTTATTTTAACAGCCAAAAGATATTAATTACAAACTGTGAGTCAAGGTGTCTACAAAACTGTACTCTAGTCTCCTGAAATGAATGTTATTTTTACTGTCAACTTAAGATATTCAAATTCACAGGGAACTCCATCTTTGGGCAGTTAGGCATTTTGTTTCCTGTACCTGATTTCATTCCTGCATTGGGGAGAATGCTTGCTGTTCAAGGAATACGACATGAATTTCTGATGACTCTTCATGTCTGGTGATGTCCGTCTTGACGTTTCTAATGGAGGAACCTGTGCTTATGGCTTATGTGGCACTTGTCAGTTGCTCTCACAACATCCTGAAGTGTTAGGGTCTCTACTGGGTGGGGGGTGACATGCCTGCCCGTGGTCATTATTAGACAGGTTTGTCCATTCCCCTGCCACTGATAATGTTAACAGTTCTTGGCCTCCACCTTTGTAGGGAAAGCTGATTCAAGGCCTTTTCCATCATGTCTTATGCTTTCCCAAGAGGCCATTTTTATGAAAGGTGGGATTCACAAAATTACAGTTAACTGTAAGATTTTTTAAAAAATTTCTTTCTGGTATTATGTCTATCCTGAGTTTTCCCTTGTTGGGAAGGCAGCAGAAAGTTAAGATCTGAGAAAGAAAGAGGAATCAGAGCAATGAGAGATATACTCAAACATATCTAGGCATATATGCAATGGGTGCACATGTTTTACTTGTTTTGTTTTGCTTTTTAACCCCTCCTCAATTTGCACACCTTGGGCTTGGGATCGCTGACTATGTATGGAGAGGAAGTGAAGACAAATGAACAGTAAAGCTAGGATGATATGGAGTCCGTTACACAGGCAAGATGGAACCTCAGCATATTTATTACCTAGCGTACAGGGACAAGGACTAGCTAGTCTGGATGGAGGGTGTCTGTTGATGAGCAGTCTAAGACTATAAATATCTGAGCGGAGGAAACCTCTCATGCCATCTTTTGTACAATCCAATGATCATTCAGAAACATCTATTCTGGAACTCTCAAGGAAAGCTTTTCCAATCCTCTTGAGCCTTATTAGGGTAAGGCTTTAGCAGTTCCTTGGGACTGAAGCATTGGAGTCTGGGCTTGGTGGCACCCATGTTAACAATGCACATTCACTCAGAACTCCATGTACTCAGAGATTTCTCTGCTCCCGACAGAACCCCACTCACCATCCCTGTGTATACCTACAGAGATGCACTCCTTTTCCCATTTCTAAATACCACAACTTTGGTATAAGAAAGTTCGAATACCAAGAATAGTGACTCTCAAACAGTAGGACCTCTATAAATGTTTAATCTAGGAAGCTAAGCATTAATTAAAGTATTTTAGGTAGCATTACACTTACTGTATCTAAATTCTGGTGTTTTTTTAACCAAAGAATATAAGCTTTTGTGTTCTTTCTTATTTGATTTATAGAACTCAAGGACTAAAGACTGTAGATAAAATATTGATGTCCTTCTCTAAGGGCTTTAATATACTAAACAAGTTCTTAATAAACTGGGGATGTTCAGTGAATATCAATGCATCTTCTTTAGTAAGGCACTGAGAAGAATAATAACTATACTTTCAACCCAGAATTGTTCATAAAATGTCTCATTTCCCACTACTGAAAAAAATAATAATCCAGCATATAGAAATATGCACACTAATGTATTTGAATCAACTGTAATATCTCTAGCATTAACCAATACTGTACAATAGCATTTAGACTCAGTCATGGATGTTAGATTTGGCTCAGTAACCTATAGATATTTATTTTGCTTTTATGTTTCTATTTCTATGTATAAATGTCATGAGACAAAACTAAGTGTAGTATCACTAAGAGGAATAAAAGGTTCTACTTGTTTGAATATATCCTTCACAGACTATCTCAATGAACTCTTCCTTATTCATTTTCTAGCTTCTGAAGTTTAGATTTAAGTTTCAGCTTAGAAAATAAGTTAAAATTTATAATTATGAATTCCATTGTTTTATTGTCTCCTGAACTCATTAATTTTTTTCTAAGAACGATTATTTTCAGGTGACAATTAGCTCTAATTGTGCTTGCACATGTGTTTAATTTGGGGATGTGTTGGAAATCTCTTTTTCTCTGACCTGATATGAATATGCTTTTCATTCTTAGGTGGCCACAGCAATGGTGACCTTTTGTATCTCCCCTACTTAGCACTGTTGTTTTCAGTTCCAAGATTTGCATGATGCTGAACATTGCTGAAATTCTGAGATCTCACTACTTCTGCACTCAAGCTTAATTTGTATTACTGGCTTCACCCTGGACTTTGTTCAGGTCCAAGTCAAGGTTCACAAACAATTTAGAAGGTTTTTGTCCTTTTCAGGAAAGCCTCTGTGATCATGCATTTTCTACTCTATTAATATTGTCAACTATTTGTCTTCAGCACTCCTGAAATGCATTTGAGCTATATTTACTATTATTTGAAGAAAGACCACTCAACCAATCTGAATGAAAAACATTTCACTGGTGACTGAAATTTCAACACAGAGATATTGTAGTCAGAAAAAAGAGCAGTGCTCATTACATACCCACATATTTTATGTAATTGGAGCTTTCCCCCAATATGTTTATATTTAACTATTGTAATATGCTTTGGTAGTGTGAATATCATGATGCTTAAAAGAAAAAACAGTAACAAAATAAAGGAAAACAACCAACCAACCAACCAAACAAACAAAACCCAACTTTAACACCTCTTCAAGTTTGGGATTCCTTTATTTGTTTGCATTTAAAAATCTGCAATGTTTCCCTCGTCATGTAAAAGCCAAGAGTGAAAAACTCTGGCATCCAACTTTATCAAGAAAGGAACTACTGAATAATTTGAATTAACAGTCATTTTCGAAGATGAATTTTTTAATGTTAGATATTCTTAGTTATTATAATTAATATAATTATTCATCATATAATGGAAATGATCTTGTTTTAAAAGTAAAATTTCAAGTCGTTTTTTCAGAGATGTGTTTGGGGAAATTTGAGAAAACATGGCAGAAATCTTTCTTGTCATATGTTAACTCTTTATTGACTATTTTACACAAAACTCATTAAAGTAGTGTGTTATAGCCTGTGCCTATCGATTAGCACTTATTTTCTCATGATTGTGACAAACTAATTTGCATCAGTATGTAATCACAGTCAGGGCTTGTTTTAATTTAGATTCTGTATCCGATAAAATTCATAATTAAATTCAGATCCAAGAGAGTCTGTAAGTTGCATTATTGTGCTTGGAAGGGCCAAGGTTGTGTGTTTGTGTATCAAACAGGTTAAAATAATTTTGATATTTTAATAATACTCAAACTTGAAAAAATACTAGTTCAAGACTTAGTCCTTCTGAAATAATGCTATTCTGTCTCTGTCTCTTTCTCACTTTCTTGTTTCTTCATTTATTTTGTTCCTTCAGAGTAACTTGGGTGTGGTCCATCACCTCTAGATAATTTTGTGGAGGACATCCATCAGCTACATTATTTTGATTAAATATGTGGTTGGATATATAAAGAAAAGGAGGAATACTCATTTTTAATTTTATAGAGACATTCAGATTCTGAGAGCTCCATTAAGGCACTTCTAATCTTTTTTTTTTTCAAGAGAGGTAGATAATGAAAAAAAAACATTGGTAATATGAATGGTATGTTTATAGTCTTTTAGTCTATAAAGACATAGACTATAGTCTTTTAAATATGATTGGACTTTTCTTCTCCGTGTCCTTCATTGATTAGCAGTTCATTTAAATATCTTTCTGACTTAGTGTCCTTATTGGCAGCACTGCTGGTTTCTCAAGGACCATTTGAAGTTTCATTGACATTTGTAGTGACCTCAAATCCTGTCAGTCACTTGCTGTTTTTCAGGATAATTTCTAAGTAGCTCACTGATGAGCATTGTCCTGGTTATTCATGTTCAGGTTGTCTAAACACACATTAAATAAACAATTCAGTTATTGCATAGAATCTATGGACTATTTAGCATGCCTGTAATAATTCAAATGTTAAAATAGTCCCTTGAATTTTAAACTGAATTTCCATTCATATGTTCAATAGAGTCTTCTAATTTAAGAGTGAAGAAGAAATGCTGGTCATCACAATATTAAAAACAATTATAAATTAACTCAGAATACGTATGCAGAATCTCCATAATGTTAAATTAGTACTTTTTGTCTTAGTCAGAGCAATAAGACAATTAAAGGTGTTCAATGGATTGCTAATTGGAAAGGGCAAAATCAAAGTTACTTTGTTTTCGGATTTCCCTAGTTAGGATTTCTATTGCTGTGAGGAAACACCATGACCAAAAAGCAAGTTAGAGAGGAAAGGGTTTATTTGGCTTACATTTCAGCATTGCTATTTGTCACTGAAGGAAGTCAAGACAGGAACTCAAAGAGAGCAGGATTCTGGAGGCAGGAGCTGATGCAGAGGCCATTGAGGGGTGCTGATTACTGGTTTGCTTCCTATTCCTTGCACAGCGACTTTCTTATAGAACCCAGGACTAGAAGTTCAGGGATGGTATCACCCCACAATGGACAGGGCCCTCCCTCATTGGTCACTAATTTGAAAAATGCTTCACAGCTGGGTCTCATGGAGGCATTTCCTCAACTGAGGCTCCTTCCTCTCTGATGATTCTAGCTTGTGTCAAGTTGATTCAGAAAACCAGCCAGTACACAGATGATATGATTTTTTTTATATAGAAGGCTCTAAGGACTCCATGTAAAAAATACCATGTAAAGCTGATAGACACTTTCATCAAAGTAGCAGGATTCAAAATTTACACAGGAAATGTCAGTAACTTCCTAAATCAGGGAAACAATGCCTTTACAATAGCATCTCTCTCTCTCCCCCCCTCTCTCAGTGTATCTGTATATATATATGTGTGTGTGTGTGTGTGTGTGTGTGTGTATAATATGTGTGTATTATGTGTATGACATGGAAGACAGAATTTGAAGGAGACATCAGAAAATAGGAGACCCTTCCATGCTGATGGATACATAGAATTCATGCAATGACAATGACCAAAAGATCAAAAGAAGAGAAAGGCCTCTAAGCCATAAGTGAATTTGTTTTTCAGCTAGACATGAATAAATAAAAGCAGTAATAACAGCTGATATATTACTAAGTGTGATTGAATATAATTTGTTATTGTTTTTAAATTATGCAATTTGATAATGGATCTTATTGACTACTGACTGTTTCACAGTCCTGTCACATTAGTAAATGGAAATTTGTTCTCATTTTCTATCCAATTAAAGCACCCTGAATTAAATCTTAATATTCATTGTATTTCCAATGCAATAATGTTCTGAAAAATATTTGTTTCCCCTTAAAATATATTACTCTCAGATAATCAAATACTGATCAGTAAGTAATTCTTTAGACATGACAGTCATGTCCTAGTCATATACCAAGAGTTTCACATTGTATATCATCAAGATATGGAAATATTTCATGTATTAGACTTTATGGAAATCTGTTATTAGCTATCTTTAAAACATACCCTAAAATTTATACCTGTTGTTAAACTGAAACCTCTGTACATAAAATAGTCACATGTTGAAAAAATTCATTTTTTGGTACCCATACATAATGGAATATTACTGCACCGTTTAAAAAAATGTGAAATTCACAGGTAAGTGAAGGGAGCTAGAAAAAAAATCCCAATTGGTAACCCATACTCCACAAACAGATATGCTATTTGTTTACTTAGATGTAGATGTTAGCTATTAAGTCTTTGATGAGCAGGCTACAATCTGCCCATTGAAGATTAAGTATACAGTAAGGAATCTGGGGTTGGGGGATCTCCATAGGAAGGGAACAAAGGAAAGAATATAGGGGAAGGGACAGCTAAAACCAAGGGCTGTTTTAGGGGCCATATGGATACCTACTACAGTGGAAGCCTCTTAAAATATATCCATATATGAAATGAATCCAAATGAAATAACCTAATAATGGGGGAGACAAAATCACAACTAGACATTTCTTGCCACGAAATGAAAGTTCTGGTGCCAGGAATGGGTTACTTCTAACCACATTGTTGGCCAAAGGAGTCCCAAACGACCCAAATATCGTGAAAAGTATTGACTTCTCTACGAAATTGAAGATAAGGCTCTATTGCTGAAGATAACACTTTCACAACTCATTGAACTTGAAGAAGTAGAGCAAATGCATACCAAGATCTGTGTTTGTAGTACTGAAATGAATTCTGCATGCTACCAGAAGAGAGAAATAAATACCAACCCAACCAACCCAGCTACAGATTCAGTGATCTACAATGGTGACTAGCTTGTACTATACACTCTTGAAACAGTAGCACAAAATTGTGGGAGTAACCAACCACTGTCTTGTTGGACTTTAAAGCCCACGCCATTATATGGAACATTTGTTCAACATTGCTGCAGTGCCAAGAACCTGAGACTCGATAGGCCAGGGACCTAGGGGAAAAGCAAACACACAATAATATGATTCCTATTAATATTTTGCTATACTCATAGGTTATTGTCTTTCTTAAGCATCGTCAGAGAAGCTTCCTCCTGCAGTTGCTGGTAGCAAATGCAGAGACATCCAACTAGATAATATATAGAGAATGAGAGACCTGGAAACACTCAGTTCTAAAAGGGATGTCTCTATCAAGTCCCTCTCCTGAAGGCTCAGGGGACTCTGCAGAAGGAGAAGCACAAATATTGTATGGGCCAGTGGGGAACAGAAGACATCAAGGAAACAAGCATTTCTAGATACAGCAGGTCTGATTTACATATAAATGCACAGAGATATGGCAGCATGCAAAGGCTCTGTACAGTTCTTAGCGAGTTGTGGTCCCAGTGCTGAGAGGGGAAGTGGACAGGGGCTCCCATTCCTAAACCAGAAGCTATGCCCAAAAAAGAAAAAATAGGTTTTTTTTTTTTTGCAAGGAAATATTGGTTACTCCCACAATTTTGTGCTACCATTTCAAGAGCGTATGGTACAAGCTAGTCACCATTGTAGATCACTGAATCTGCAGCTGGGTTGGTATTTATTTCTCTCTTCTGGTAGCATGCAGAATTCCTTTCAGTACTACAAACACTGAGCATCCATATCATACTGAAGAGCAGGCCCCGTGCCTAGTAGTAGATGGCCAATAGAAAAAGGAACTCAATAGTTTGGAGGGTTTTTTTTTTTGTCTCACAATACTTTTTGGGTTTGTTGTTGTTTTTCCTTAAGGTTCTGTTTTATTTTTTTTAAATAGGATTTCTGTATTTGCTCATGTGCATGTCCCTGCTTGTTTTGTCCTATTCTTGTTTGTTTTGTCAAGTCCTAGCCTGGATAAAAATGAGAAGTATAGTTTAGCTTGGGAATGTATTAATTCACTGCTCTCAGCTTCTGACTGTGTAGGTGATACAATTAGGTCTTTCAAGTTGCTGCCACTTTTACTTCCTATAGATTGGAGGTGTGAGCTAAAATAGCATTTTTCCTCCTACATTGCTTCTCTAGGGCTAACTTGTCATAAGCAACAGGAAATGGAACTATTCTGGTTTGAATGAGTATTCCCAATGGTTCATGTTTGAAATTCTTTGTCTGAAAGTGACACTGTTGATAGGTTGTACAAACCTTGGGTGGTAGGAGATAGACCTGTTTCTTGGTCTTTTGTGATATGCCACTAAATGGGCTTTGAGAGCAGGCTCTTTTCCTTTTTGCTGGTTTTATATCCTAGCCCATGAGCTGCTGTTAAGTTTGCTTCGGCATATACTCACCCTGCCACTATCTAACATCCACACCAGAGTATGAAAGCACTGAGCCTGCCTGGTCTTGGACCAGCCCTCTCTAACACTAGCTAAAGAGACCTTTCCTTCTTGTATGTTAATTACCTTACCTAGTTTAGGAACAGGAAAGGAACTAAGGAATGGAGAGTTACAAAGAGGAAACACTGAAGGTCAGGAGAGGTCTGTGTAAACCAGTCTAGCAAGTTTACTCTGTTGTTGTTTTTTTTCTTTGCTGGAGATAGGAATGGTGGTTTGGTAGCACTAGAGGGTGATGGAGAATGAATAGCAGGTCAGATACCTAAATGTTCAGATAAAAGCTCTTAGAGAAAGACAGGGTCCTTGGTAAACTGAATTTTACCAAGGAAAGACATAGGAAAAAGTTTATGAGTTGGACTCAAATTTGGTCAAGCAAAGCATCTCCATGTCTTGAAAAATAATTTTTAAGCTTTTTTTTATTACTTTAATTTTAAATAGCTTGCTTCACATG